TATCTTGCTAGCGGATGGGACTCAGAAACCCAAGCAGTTCAATCTGTCTACACTATTCAAACAGATAAGCCCTGGAGCTAAAGCCACCTTTATTAGGTATCTGCACACTGTTGACATGGCTTCAAAAATAACCACAGAAGGGTATGAGCTCGTGTCAATAGGAAGCTCAGTACCTTAGTTACCATTTTAGACTACTTGTATTGCCATAAACTGCGATAATGTCCCTTTACCTACTTCAGAAATCTATACCTCCCTGCTGCCAGGCAAGGAACGCAAACACAGGAGACGGAGCCCTAATCCTAAACCAACACTGGTCTACAGAAACAGGAAGGTGGGATATTTCTGGGGATCTCCATGGGAGAAGCAGCTAACCAACACTGTCACCCTAAGGTGGACTGCAGTAAGTTCCCGGGGGAAATTCTACCCTACAGTATTGGTGTTCGCCATTGATCTCTGCTCTGTGGTTTTATTTATGATCAAAACTTCCACGAACAGAAACGAATGCAAAGAACTGTGTCCAGCAGAAACGTGTTCTTTTCCAAAACGCTGTGCTGCGGAGAAGGCAGTGGCAACAATTGCTGCCTCCAGATGTGCAGGCTGGTGTCCTGCCCTCACTGACCATTTCACATACAGCCCCCTTCCTTCAGCTCCTCAGTGCCTGCAGCCTGTGGGCCATGCGGTCAGCGTGGTCTGTGCCATCGTGTTGATCTCTCCCCTGCAATTACTTCTGCTAAGGACAACACACCACTGTGTAAAATGGTATTTCAAAGCTTTCTTCTGGGGAGGAGATGTAATTATCCTTACCAGTACCAAAGAGAAACCTAATGCACAGAGCTGCATCTTTTATAAAATATATACACTTACATTTTTACAAAATATATGCACTTACATTTTATCTGTATCTTGCCCCAGTAACAAGGAGCTCTCAGGAGAGGAAGATCAAGGTCGCCATCCCTCGGTCACTGAAGAGCCTTGAAACCAGCGTGACAGAACAGGTGACTATGAGCACCTGAGCTTTGTCTTACTTTGCAAGTATCATTCCAGCCAACACGGGCTAGCCATGCTGGAACGAGGTGGGTGAACTATGCACCAAACCACCTGGCTTTGGGTAGACAATACGCTGGATAAGTAGGGCCACAAAGTGGCTCATTGCAAAGCCTCTGCTATGACAACTTGCCTGATGAACAGCTTTGGATCGGCATTATCACAGAATCTCAGAATGGTTAAGGTTGGAAGGGACCTCTAGAGGTCATCTAGTCCAACCCCCCTGCACACGCAGGGTCACCTAGAACACGTGGCACAGGACTCCGACTGGGTTTTGAAGATCTCCAGAGAAGGAAACTCCACAACCTCTCTGGGCAGCCTGTTCCAGTGCTCT